AGTATTGATGACATAGTCGGCAATGGCATCGTTGCCGGTCTGGGAGCTATCGTCAAGGTTGATATGCTTGACCGTGAAGTCCAGAAGGTAGACAGTGTCATGGATCGCAAGGGCAACCACGGCAGTGTGGGAGTCGGCGAAGACGGCAGAGATACCGCAGTAGAGGGTCTGTAGCAGTATTGTCAGTGAAGTTCATTTTCGTTCAGAAGCTACACAGCAAGCAATCAAAACCAATACAGCGACAAAGTGAACAGAATTGATAAACAGCCAATGCAAAAATGAACCAATCGAGCGGAAGCTTCGGTTCATTGTCTCACACAATGGGTGAATGGACGCATCAGGCCATGAAAGTAAGACATGCGGGGAAGGGCGATGGTTATCGTGAACAGGTAGGAGGGGTCAACTTACAGTCAAAGCAGGACCGAAATGATTGCCTTGCTCGTGCATGTTGCTCATTTGTCTCCTGCGGTGAGCCGAAGCTCCCAGTGAGAACTGGCGACCCGGCTGCTTGGGGTTCACCATGATGGCGGTGTATAGGAGGATTGAGCTTCTGGGTGAGGTATCGAGTAAGTAAAGGAAGTGTCGTCAATGTAATCGATGCCTCTCGTAGGGCAGAGGTTGAGGTTTGTTGAGCACGTTCGTCCACCTTACTGAGCGGTAGACTTGAGGAATGGATTGTTGACAGAGAGAAGAAGTAAAGCAGGGAGAGAAATTTTCGATGCGAGGGGAGGGAAGAGTTTTGTGTCGAGTCAAGGCAGGCTAGAGTAAGGTATGGGAGTGAAGGAGGTAACGTGGGCAGACACGTTCAAAAGTGAGGCATGGCAGGCGTGGGAGGCGTGTGAGGCAGGCTGGGGGAAGGAGGGGGGGCAGACGGGACACGGAATGTAGGAAGGTGAACGAACATGAATGGGAAGGATCGATTGGGAAGCAGCTGCCGGACCGGGAAGCAACTGAAGCGAAAAGAAATACGGTAAGGCACGAGGAGACGACCTCGGGAAGGTAGGAAGACAGGAGATCAGGTTGCCAAAGAGGTTGGCCGGGTTGGGGAAGCCACCCTGGGACGATTCCTGCCGTATCTGCGCCATCAGACAGGAGAAGATGTTGTCAGAGAAGGAGCGGCTGGAGGTCACCTCACCTGCCCTCACCTTGCATCTCGCATTGGACTTGGACGTGTCTTGAGCTGCACCGGCCGTACCGACCGTACCTTGCTGTAGGCACATGTTTAACATGCGGTATCAAGTACGATGTAACAAGCGAGTAGAACAAGAGGCAGCGTCATGCAAATGGTAGAATATTAAGAGCAGAAGGGAAAACCTGGAAGGGGAGAAGGAGGTGCCCTGCATGGATACCTAGGTACACAAGGTGACAATGGAAGGCAGGGCCAGGAAGGAGGCATGCAGAGGCTCTTCCCCGACCGGTACGTTCGGACGGGTAGCGGCCAAGTGGGGCCGGCCGCGAACGGTCACCGTGAGGTCACGCAACGTCAGGCCAGATTCGGTACGTATCTCAAGTACTCGACTTCCAGGTTCTTCATCTAGGAGTCCTATGTAGAAAGACATAGGTGGACACCATCTCAGAATCTCAACTCGCAGGTGACGCATGGAACCTCGAGACAGGGGCGACACCCCGCGTGGGAGAAAGCACAACGGCATGGGGTAGATGCCCTGGCTGTGGGGGGAAACATCCACCCCGTGGTCTACCTACCTTGCCTTAAGGTGTGCTGTGAGAGAGATTTGGCATGAATGGGCCTGCCAGGCTTTATATCCCCGCCTTCTTGTTACCTTTGCCATTTATTGTGGCTTACTTGGTACCTCATCCGTTTACCATATTTTTCTCTGGGAATGCCGTTTGGTACTCCGCGTTGGAAGCCACAGTTACACCACTTTTCTCACCTCCGACTACTGCAGCACGTAGCGTTACCTACATAAGTTACCGTAAGGTAACTATAGATGCAGCAAGGCAAGGTAAGGCAAGGCAAGGCACATGAGCAGGGCACTAGAAGTCCGAGTTGGACTTGTTCAAACCATGGCATTGCTCCTGGATTCGAACTATCGAACCCTCATGGTTCATTCCTCCGCTTACTTCGACACTGCATTTGTACCTTTCAATATCTCCCCAAGCCGGTCAGAGTTGTGCCTGAGGAACTTGGTGATACCTCCAACCCGTCTTGGCTGATGCAAGTACGTACTGCCCGATACGCCACTGTGCCGCCACCCCACTCACTACTTGCTACCTAAACATTCAGGTTCACAGAAATGCTTCCTAAAGTGCAATCTCAACACTGCCAACCTCAACCACCTGATCTGATCTCGATGAGTACCTTGCTCCAGACAACAAAGGTGCATGTTTGTCCCACCGCGCTTTCATCTGTACAAAAGAGCAAAGAACGTCGCTTGAAGCAACAAACCCATGGCAGACCAATCGTACACCACCATGTAGACACGAGCAACCGCGGCGGGACACATCTCCCACAAGTAGCACCACCACACCGCATCTCATCTCATACACCCTCAAAATCATGGCTGCCACCCAAGTGCTGCCTTTCCCACGAATATCAATTGTCGGTGAGCATATACCCATCTCCAAACCACTGAATCTCAACCTAATCCACCGTGGGGGACGCCGCCATTGTGTTATGAGGAACCTAGGAAACCATTCCTACTGGACCACAACACCCACCAACATTGGGCTGAAAGAGCAGACAGGTGAATGGTAGAAATGTCCACGCGCCTCGCAGAGATTTTTCATCTTACATGAGGCCGACAGGCGGCTGCCGGCAGCCATTTCGACCAAGCACGCCCTCTTCCCTCTGCCAATCCGAGATTGAAGAGAAGTAGATGAACATCACCGACACCTGCCTACCGTCCGACACCGGAATTGCCTCTCTGTGAAGAACAGCGTCATTGAGAACGACAAAGAGTCATTCAGCTGTGGTCAATATGACATGCCCTTCTGGCTAGCTATCTCACCTCTTTCCGCGGCCTTCGCCTTCCAATTAACGGAAAACAGTGCTCTTTCGCTGGCTACCTATACCCGATGTTGCAAGATAAAATGGTCAGCGTATTCTGGCACACCGAGGTGGAGAACAACGCGAGGCAAGCTCAACTCGACCCCGACCTGTACCCCAATCGTTAGCTTGCTTATGCCAAAGAGACCACGGCCCACGACGCTATTCTCGGCGCCCCATCAAGTGCGGAAGCGGCTAGTTTTGGGTCCCAGGTAGTGTAACGGGTACAAAGGCCACGGTTGCGGGGATCCTGCAGGTCATTGAGAGGTCTCGCGGGAGTTCCTCAATTAGTTCATAATAACGACATCAGAAAGCCGCATCACAAGTCTCACAAATCATCAATCAAGTATTTCTGTTATCGCCGGCAGATTCTCTCATGGCGTTTGGGAATTTCAAGGCTCCTTGGTCTTTGGAAAGCATAGCAAGACACCTCAAAGACGGTTCTTCAAGTACCCCTGGCATGGGACACTTGGGTTCCACCGCCTGCGTGCTATCCCTGCCCCGGGCAACTTTCGCAACGATTCTCCATTCCGTCGACCCCGCGATTCGTTGTCGTGCATGCTGATTAGGGAAGTTGGGAGGATCTCCCGACTTTTCCGATCTTTAAAACTACTCTTCCGTGACGTTTATTTTGCTCAGTATCAAGGCGAGAGAGATATCTTCAGCCAGGTCTTATGCTGCTGAATCCACAGCAGCGTCATCACCGCGACATACCGGACCAAGTTTAGCAGGGTTTATGGCGCAGACTGCAGAGCTCACTGTTCTCAGAATCATACGATTGAAGCGGACCCAGGTGACGAATCATTTCAGCTAAAGCAACCCGAGGTTCCAATTTTTCTCAGATCATGTCGTTCATCAATTTGGGCCCATACCCTGCTCCTTTTGCCGTTGTTCTAGAACATCCATGCCAGGGCACTTATGTGGCGTGGGATTGACAGCGCGACAGCTCAGCCCGCCCCCATTCTGTGCATCACAAGCCAAGATTCGGGCAACTTTATCACGAGGCTGAGCTGGGCCTTTGTAATGAGATACGTCAGCGCCAGCTCCGACTGTCCTGCGACGCTCCTCTTAATTTATGAAACAGGTCTTTAGCAAACTTTGCAGCACTTGCGCGATTCGGCTTTGGCTAGGCAATAGAAGCTAGTACTTTATGTATGGGGAGCAGGCGTTCCTATGCGTAACGCCGGCATTAACATTCGCCTCACAACTTCTATGGGAATGTCTGTATGTCTGTGTTTTCACTGAGGCCAGCCGGGATGCCTACCAGCAACACCTCTAGATAATGCAATGTGAGGAAGCAGTTCTCGATCGAGCGAGCTTTTCATACGTCTGATGCACTATGTAATGTGTTATCTAGGTCAATCCCAGTAGGCTAGAGAGAATGTGGATTTTTTAATGGCGTTTCCTATTGCCTATGAAAGCACCCGATTTCTCGTAACCTAATGATAGCATATCTGGGTTAGCCTTGACTAGTTGATTATCTCACTTGAAATCTGGTCTGTGGTCCATGAACAAGACCATCTCGGACCGAGGAAGAAAGCCTAGCATGTCAGATAAGCCAACACAAGCAAAGGAGTGCAACTGCTTGACACCCGTGTTCTTGTCTCAGCAAATGGTACGACGGGGAGCCTAACGCGCCGCAAAAGTTCAAGGAACAAAATGGCATGTGTACTATTTTGCTCATGTAGCCCAAATAATTGGCCTTAACGATGCCTCAAAGGTCATTTCAGATAAGTCCTTGACACCTTCTGCCCTATGCCGCTCCACACCTCGTCGTTCCTTAGTAAACAATAAGATTCTCATACAAGATAAGTAAAGATCCAAGACAAGGCTTATGCTATCCCTGATATCTCTGATGTCTTCCCTTCATCGTTGCAGACCCATTCCCGCTATCACTCGGGATATCATACATAACCTCAATACTTCTCCCAGAAGCTACGAGGACATCGCAGTCACCCAACATCTCATGCTTACACCGTCATCATCCATCAAGCGGCTTCTGCGCAGCAAGAGAATGAAAATGCACATACGAATGCACACTCCGATCCAACAAATCCTTCCTCACCTCGATCAGGAAAACCTCCACCTCCTCAGGCGTCCACCCCAGACCCCTCGTAAACGGCCCAATCGTAATAGCATGCAACCCATCATAAATCGCCGCGCGGCAGTACTCCCCAATCTTTTTCAAATCGTCGTCCTTCGCCCAGGGTCCGACGGGCACCTTTTTCACCTCGTGCGCCAAGTTGACGAAGCCCGCGGCCGCGACGTGGGACGGGTATAGTTCGGCCGCGTTCATCTTGACGTCGAGCTTGGCGAGCGCTTCTTTGATGTTGGCGACCATCTTTACGGGGGCAAAGGTTGGAGGCATGGTGTTGTCGTCGCAGCCGTAGACCCAGCGCATTTCTTGGAGTTCGATCCAGCCGCCTGGTTTTGTGACGCTGGTGGGTGTCAGTTCATGTTGCTTGGTATGTCCGGTGGACCGGGTTCTCATCCCGGGGCATTAGTCGGAGACAGTCAGGGCTTACCGGTATGCTTCGGCGAACAGCTCCGGCCACTTTTTGATGGAGGGGGCCATGTTGCGGAGGTGGACAAAGTCAAAGTGGTTATCCGGGTAGACCCATTCCACCTCGGCGTCGTCGACCATGAACCGAACGTTGGGCGGTACGAACTCGGGCTGGATCGGGCTCAAGTCCACGCCAATGATTTCGGCCTCGGGGTACTCGTCGCCCACTAGTCACACTCATTAGCTCCCCATGATCATGTTACACGAGACCCCCTTCCCCGACGAGGAAACGTGAAGAGAGTGAGTGGTACGCACTATCAATAGCCCATATCCCCGTCCCCGTCCCAACATCAATGATCCGCTGCGGATTCTCCAACGGCGCGCTGTGCAGCCTCCCGCCGCAGAGGTGGACGACCATGGTATGCTTCATATCCTCGCGCTCCTGCTCGTCGTCGTCGTTGGGGAAGTGGTACTGGCCCTCCTTGTAGCGGTGGTACCGCCGCCGGTTCTCGAAGCTGTAGTCGCGCACGTGGGAGGCCAGCGATGTTGACGCTCGCGAGGAGCCGGATTCGGTCCCGCTTGCGTAGCCGTCGTCTGGGCCTGGGGATGTCGGGTCGGGGGTTAGTTCTGGGGCCGGGGTGAGTTGATCGTCGGCTGGGATCGGCGTAGCAGGGGCTGCTGGTGCTGCTGCTGTGGTGGAGCTGTGAGCATCGTGAGGTTGCGATGTTGTGGGGGGCGCGGTGGGTGCGGCGGGTGCGGCGTCTGATGTTGAAGATGTTGCCGGCTCTGGCGCTGGTGTTGATATCGCAGGTGAGGGATCTGAGGCACCTTTGGGTGCCGCTGATGCGGCTGGACTGTCTGCCATTGTCTTCTGGTAGAACTTTTGAGTTCTTCGACCACAAGGCGCAAGAGGAAGACGGTGAGTCGAAATGGCGTGAGATGCGATGATGGAAGGGAGCTTGGGGGAAGCTTTTGAGAAACCGTGGAATGGACGGATGGGTAATCCCCGAGGCGGGGGGAACTAGACCGAGAAGAACCGCGGATACCTTTTTTATGGTACGGATAGCTCAAGGTACTATAAGTAAGCATCTGGTCTTCTTAATGGGCCTCTATCCGGAATAGACGGGAGTCTGCGGTTGCGACCTTGGACGCCCTTGGAGAGTGTGGACGGGGTCTTTGGGGTCCCGAGGGGGCAGACTACTGGCGCCATCACCCACTACTTTTTCTTTATAATCGAATCATCAATGCCGAAACCAGACAACCATGTCGCCGCCATCAACAGCCGAGAAGAGCCCAGGGGCACTAACCCCCACCAGATTTCGCCGTGGATGATGAAGCTAACGTAGAGGCAATGCGACGTAGGGTCGTTGAGTGTAGGGTAGAACATAAATCTAAATGCTCCCTGCATCAATCCATTTAGGTTTTCCTGCATGAGTTGTTTCCCTCCTCGTATCCGTACAATACCTTCGGCACGGAGCACCAAGTCATGGAACCCTTCAAACTCACCCTCCCGGACGGCAAGACCGTCTCCGGGCTCCACAGCATCCCGTCCTCCACGGCCTCCAACCCGCTCCGCCCGGCTCACCCTCCCCTCATCGTCGGCCTCCACGGCGGCACCTACTCGGGCGCCTACTTCGACGTCGACGACACCTACACCGCCCGCCACATCAGCGCAGCCACCGCTGTGCCCTTCATCGCCCTCGATCGCCAGGGTTACAACGACACCACTCCCGTCGGCGACGACATCCCCGCATCATCCTCCTTCTACGAAGAATGGGGCACAACCCTCCACCGCAACATTCTCCCGGCTCTCTGGGATAAATTCGCCATGCCAAATGGTTGCTCCGCCATCGCGCTGCACTGCCACTCTCTCGGTGCACCAGGTGCTTGCGTCGCAGCGGCGCTGTGGTCCGAGGAGACATCCCCCACCTACCCGCTCGCCGCCGTCACCATCTCCGGCTTCGGTAACGCAGTGAAGAACTGCCGCACAGGGGACTTTACGCCAGCAGATGACCCCCCTCCGTCACACGTGCACTTCCCGCACGCCGCAAAAGACGCGCTCATGTTCCCGCCTGGCACGGCGGATCCTGCGATGCTGACGCACACGGCGCGCCTGGACCGCCCGATGCCGTACCGCGAGATGGCGGACCTGCGCGGGAACTGGCTGGCGAGCTGGGAAGACAAGTTTGCGGGGCGGATCACGGTGCCGGTGCTGATTGGGCTTGCTGGGCGGGACGGGCTGTGGTTGTCGAGGGAGGAAGATGTGAGGGAGTACATTGCGGCGTTCAGGAAGAGTCGGAGAGTAGAGGGGAGCATTATCCCTGGGGCGCCGCATAATATCGAGATGAGTTATTGGTCTCAGGGGTGGTATGCCCGTGTATTTGGGTTTGCGATGGAGGGGGCGGCGTCTTTGGCGATTGGGGATGGTGATGGGGAGGGTGTTGAGGCTGTTGGCCATTGAGGCTTGGCTGCTAGAGAGAATACGATGAAAGAGGAGGGCCTGAATTCTGAAAGTATGTAGAGTGTTACATGCATCCCACCTATGAAAGAATAGAATGAGATGACTATCTCGATAATGGGCACGTTGGCTCATTGAACCTCTCGTGAACTTATCTCATTCTCACTCATCCAAGTATAGAGGCTCATTAGTTTCATTAGACACAACAGTAACCGGCTGCCAAATACCACCAGCCCAGTCGTAGTTGGTGAGCATTGAGCTGTCCCACTATGAGAGCTGTGTCATGAAACCTTACTTCATCTATTCTGGTGAACGTAGGAGTCATGAATTGCGAAGGAGGCGGGCTATGTATGAGAGTACGAAACAATGGCAGTGTCTTTAGCTGAGGCGAGATGCATCTCAGCGAGACAATGCAGATTCTCTACCAGCCTCAAGCAGGATTCAAGACTTTTTCGTCGAAGGACTTTGCAACTTGCGCATGAGTGCCACAAGGCTCAGATCTATTTACACCACCGCAGCACTGCGTTGGGAGCAGCTCACACAATCTGATGCATCTGTTCTTTCTACCTCTTGTGCCAGCACCGCACCAACTTGGTTTGCTCCGATCACCGGCAATCTCATGGGCTATGAGGCTACATGAGGTCCCGGCGTGGAAACGCAACATCCAAGGCTGGCCACACTACCGGATTGCGTAGAGTCATCAATGACACGACTGATCTCACCAACGTCCAGGTGTCGTCCGTAAAGATTTGTCCAGCACAACCATCAGACGAACGATAGGCAGGGATGGCCGGACGGACCTGCGTCTCTTCATCGCCGGTCCCATGTCAGAGAAAGCCACCTTATTCGATGGAAAACGGCTGATCATCGATCTCCACCGATTTTCCCACTCTATTGACGCCACTATGACTAGTTTCCAACTTCTCGGTGAAGGGCTCTTTACCTGACCTCACACGCCCCCACCTTCACCGAGCTCTGATTTTTGAACCCCGCACACACCGGGACCCTTACGCCGAAGCTGAACAAAACGCCCAAAAAAGTCTGAACCGCAATCACACACACACCAACACACATCAACACACACTATTTGCCTGCCGATGATTGAGAACCAGTTAAGCTAATCTGCTGAAGAACGAGCTAATTCAAGAAGGGTCCAGAGTTCCAAGATCTGTGCCCTGATTTTAGGCCCGGACATCGACTTACTCGCATTGCCGGCGCCAAAAACGTGAAGAGGCTATTTTAGCTCACACCCTGTCACTGTCACTTTCACTCTCACACACTCATTCGTTCACATCTTCACTCTCATCCACGTACTCACTCTCACTCACACTCACACTCACACTTACAATCGTTCACTTACTCACACCTCCGCCCACCCTCTCCACGTGCACATACAGCCAGCCCAGCCAGCCACGATGGATGAACTAGTCGACTGGGCAAAGTCCCACGGAGCCGTCCTCCACCCGTCAGTCGAGGTCTACAACGACACCAACACCGGAAACTCCTTCCGCGTCTCCCGCGACGGCGCCGGCGTTAACCCGGGCGACACCGTCGTCACCTGTCCCCTGGCCCTGACCCTCTCCTACCTCAACGCCACCACCACACCCAACTCAGGCTTCCATCACGACTCCACCTCCTCACAAGCATTCCCTACCTCGTTCCTCGAATCCGTCCCACCGCACGTCATCAGCCGCTTCTTCCTCATCAAGCAATACCTTCAAGGCCCATCCTCCTTCTGGCACCCCTACATCAGAATCCTCCCCCAGCCAACAAACCTCGCCGCCTGGGCCCTCCCGCCCCTTTGGCCCACAGACGACATCGAGCTCCTCGAGGACACAAACGCCCACGTCGCCATCGCCGAGATCAAGACCCGCCTCAAGGCCGAACACAAGCACGCCCTCGCCGCGTTCGGCGACGACCCGGCCAGGCACGACTACACGCGCCTCCTCTACAACTGGGCCTACTGCATCTTCACCAGTCGGAGCTTCCGCCCGTCCCTCGTCATCCCCGCTCACAGGCAGCACACCCTCTTGCTGCCGGAGGGTTGCGCCATCGATGACTTTTCTTTGCTGATGCCACTGTTTGACGTGGGAAACCATAGCCCGACTGCTCGGGTCGCGTGGGAGACGTCCGATGATGCTGTGAAGGATGAGGAGGCTACGGTCGGCCTGCGCACACTGGATACGTACGCACCTGGTGCGCAAGTTTTCAATAATTATGGCACCACCAAAACCAACGCCGAACTCATGCTGGCGTACGGCTTTACCATCCCCGAATCGGAGATCTTGCATAACGACTACGTTCACGTCCAGAAGCGCGGTGGTGGCGCCAAGGCTGCGGCGGAGAAAGGTGATGATGGCGCCGGGGCAGCATCCGGGAATAACAAGCCCAAGGATTATTTGATTTCTCTCAGGCCTGTGTCTGACCCGAGCTCAGTGGCCGCGCGATCTGGACAACTGCTGAGCGATGTCGATGGGGACGCCATCTTGCCTCCGTTTCGGCATGTGCAGGATATCATGGTGTGGGAGCTCGTTCTCGCGCAGACGACGGCCGAGCAGCGGGACGAGATGATTCCGGTGCCGGAAGGTGGTGGTGGTGACGACGATGGAAGCAAGGCAGATCTAGAGAGGCTGAGGATGATCTTGACTGGACGGGTCCCCGCGGCCACCCAGCCTTTGCTGTTCCAGACGATCGGCATCATCCAGCACAAGGTGCTGCAGGAGCTTGAACGGCTGGACCAGTCCGAGTTCGAGATGGAGGAGGCTGAGTCGACGAGGAATCAGATCATGGCGTATCGCTATAGGAGGCAGTGTAGGAAGGTTTTGGAAAGTGTACTCGAGTCTATGGAGATGCCCGACGAGGCTGCCTCATAATTCGAGTGACAGGTACCTTTGGCATAGTGCATAGACCTGGGATCACACGCCTACGATGTTTTGAGAAGCTCGCCGTAGACGGCCCGCTCCAAATCATCATACAACCTCGTCACAACCGGATCGGCATGAGGCTGTGACTGAACAAGAAGCACCCCGGCAACACCCGTCTCGCGATCCAACCACCAGTGACTGTTACACATGCCACTCCACTGCAGACTCCCCTTCTTGCGCTTCCCCGGCACGTCACGCATGTTGACGCACCCA